ACGCCGGCGCGGGTAGCTGGTAGAGCTGTGGTCTAGGTGTGTAAGAAAGGTTGCTTCAGGTATGTTTGTGCGCTCTTGTTGTGCGTGCGTACATGCGTGTGCGTGCTTGTGCACATTAGCGTCCTGAAGGTATTGTGCAGCCATCGGCTGGCTGCTTCCAACATCGAGCTTTTCAAACCCTTTCTTTTCTTTGTTCATTTAGACTTTGCTGTTGTGGATATGTTTGTCTTTGTCTTGACTATTTGTGTTTCAGTTAAATTTTCACTGGGAACGCACCGTGTTCTTGCCATTACATCTTGCACTCCTTTCGACTTTTCCTCCATATTGCTCCCTGTCTCTCCCACTCACTCTACTCCTCTTGCTTTCCACCTGCTCTGCTCTTGAAAAGCCAAGAAGTTCATTCCCACTGTGCAGTTCCGCATCTCTGTCTCCCTTCTCGCTTCATTCTTGAAACTGTGTCATGTTCAATATCTTCACTACATCCCCGACCTCTGATTCTGAACTGAGTCTTTGGCAGGAGGCTTCATGAGTGTGTGTGTCTATGTGTGTATGTGTGTGTGTGTGTGTGTGTGTGTGTGTGTGTGTGTGTGTATCGTGTGTGTGTGTATCGTGTGTGTGTGTGTATCCTGTGTGTGTGTGTGTATCCTCTGTGTGTGTGTGTGTGTGTGTGTGTGTGTGTGTGTGTGTGTGTGTGTGTGTGTGCATCTTATTGGATCGTTACAGGTAGCTGTGTGGATAAGATATATAGGTACTCGCTCCTCTGGAGGTCGTAATCGTCCCAACACATTCAAAACGTTGGACTCGTCCGAATGCATGTGGTCCACAAGGCGTCCAAAAGCATGTAGGTTGTTGAGTCGTGGAGTGAGGCCGATGAATATATATGACGATATATACATGTATATATCGTCATATATCGTCAAATATATATATCGTCAATATATATATATGTAAACTCCGACGAAACAGTTTGTCACAGCCCCTCGTTTGTTGTCCTCTTCTCTCTCTCTGCCTACGGTTTACCGGGCAGTTCTGTTTGTGACGAT